GATCCTGCTGTAGCCAAAAGCAAAAACCATACATTATTCATTTCAATATTCATATGCTTTCTGCTTTTTTAACTGCATATTTAATGAAGGTGTGAGTACGATGCTTGGGGGCTACTGTGCTGTTTAAAGCTTCTTGTTCTGCGTACGTGTCATATGGGGTCATACATTTTCTCACTTTCGGACACCAGGGAACATGGCTAACACAGACAAGAAATGCATTTTGGAGGATACAACAAATTATTGGATATTTTTATGTGTAATGGGACACATGAGGCTCACTATGGTAATTTCCTGTTTAACCTCAAGTGCCCAGAGCATTTCATACCCCCCCACCCCCAAAAAAAACAAAAACAACCAAAACACACCATATCTTTTAGCCTTAATTTAATGAATACACACACTTGTCATTCAAATATATGCTATCAGGGCAACGTACTGTGTACAGAGATAGCAGTATGTCCAGTGTCTGCCATGACACAGTATCCATAAATCCATTCACCTGAATTTGATAGTCTTAGTATTTTGATGAAAATGTATGTTTTAGTCTATTTAGTTACAAGTAGAGTGACTGTATGAAACAATCTAAGTTGAAAGGTCCACTTACTAGATTTATGGAGTTTTCAACTGCACCTAATGGTCATGAAGGTGTGGACATGGTGTTGGATAGGTGCATGTTAAACTGTGTTTTTTATTTTTAGAAATGTCGACACACTGGTGCTATCATACGGTAGGCTACGTTAGCAGCATGGCTAACTAAAACAACTCACAGGCTGCAACCCAGTCACTCCCAGTGGCATCACAATGATTCCAACTTGTTGCTGATCAACAACAACAAAACTTGTAACATCAAAATGTCACCAACCTAATATAAACAACATCATTCTTAGCTGTAAGACAAAGCAGTCATGCTTCCAGGAGGTTTAGAGAATTCTCTCAACCCACAGAGGAGCACATATGTGTGTAATCTAATCATTTAACAAACTGGGCACAGTGTTAATTTCCATTGCCATTCCATAGGGTGTTTAATAAAGAGCATCTGGCCTACTGCAATTTACAGCAAAGCTATTACATTAAACCATGAATACCCAGAACAAATGAAAAATGTCAACACTTCAAAAGTATAAGAAAACAATTCAGGGTCAAGAAAATCACTTATTAAGGTTTGATGAAGGCCACATCAGATAATAGAACTGAGCCTCATACTCAGTTTAACACCTTCAAGGCTTCATAGTACTGAAACCATTTCGGAGACCTTGAGCACTTTGTCACAGTGGCCCCTGCCTCTCGCCATCTCCTGCCCTTCAAAGTCATCCAGAACCAAATAGTAGTTAAGTATACATGACAGCCAGGTACCTGAGAAACCACAGCTAATGCACACCATGAAGGAACCTGGGAAAAAAAAAAAAAAAAAACAATATCACACACAACAAGACCTGCACTGTGCACAGCAGGAGACATCGGCCATGTGGTTGTCTGTCATGGTGCTGCCAGCATGTACCTGCTGCATAAGAAGTTAAACCCTACATGATTCCAGCTTGATGTGGATTTCCTCATTTGCTTATCTGCCCTGCTCTGTGGAGGGACTTTAATTCCACCTGACTATTATCTGTGGAGAAGCAGCAGCACTGTGTGCAGCAAATCAAAGGGATGAATTTTTTTTGCTCAAATTGCAGGCACAATAGGTTTTCAACCACACACCAGTGCAGCATCAAAGCCTGTCAACAGCTTTTGATTTGTACATTTTGTGCTGTGTGTTTCATAGAGATTTTTCAGCCCATGCTCATGTGGGCCAGGTGCTCAGGCTGCAGCAGGGCTAAGACTTTGAAATGGAGGTGGGGGCATGAAATACTTTTTGCAGGAAATGACCATAAGTGCAATGAACAGACAAATTGTTAAGTGCAAGAATTTAAAAGTATTGCAGATGAAGTGAA